CGCATGCAGGCTGGGGAGGATGGGACTGGACAGGGGAGGCGTAAGAAGCACCAGCATCACAAGAACAACGTGGAGCCGAGAGGAGCCCCGTGCAGGGTGACACAGCCCTGGCAGCAAGGCTGTGGGGGACCCATGGGTGATGACAGGGAGCCATGGTGGTGTGGCACAGCTGGGGTCAGCACACGGGGATGGGGTTGGGGAGAGGACGGTGGGCGAGGAGACAACGGGACACTGTGTGGGCTGGGCAGCTGGCGGGATGGAGAGACAGGAGCTAGGTGCATCTCCCCACCCATGGATGCCCCAGCCACCCCACATTCCCCTCCACAGCAGCACCGGTTCCCCAGACAGGACAGGCATCACCATCCCCCTGCCGCAGCCTGGGAAGGCAGCACCGAGGGTGTGGGTGAGGGGTTGCAGGGCCTTTATTCATCACATGACAAGCAGGCATGGTACAGGGGTGCAGGATGGGGCAAGCAGGGGGCCCGTCATCGGGGCAGAAGATACCCTTCATGCAACCTTGGCATGGGATGGCGAGAGGAAGCAGGAGGACAGGGCAGGGGCAAGTGTGGCTTTGCCCAAAGCACCTCGGACTTCTCCCGAGGCCAGGAGCTGGCGTGCGAGGAGGATGGGGGCAGAGGCTGCGTGGGGACCAGGGCCGAATAAGCCACCTCCACACCTCAAGCAAATTTTCCCCGTCGCCTTTGTGAATCCCCTGCCGGCCCCTGGCCCCGCGGGTAATGCCCAGCACCGCTATTTACAGAGTATAACAGAACTGACCAATGTTACAAATAATTAAAAGGCAGTTGTAAAAATGAGAAACCACATTCCAAAAGTAGAGAGTCTTTTAAAAAAAAAAAAACAACAAACAAAACCAAAACCCCAGTTATCAGTGAAAATGTTAAAAACCACCCCCAAAAGATCTATGTACAGCAGGAGATTGCCCGTGGCAGCGCTGCGCCTGACGGGGTGCAGGGACCCGACTCTCCGTGGCTGGCAGGGATGCTGCCTGGCCCCGGCTGCTGGTGAGGGTGGTCAGCGCCTGGCCCGCATGTCCTGCACCCGGGTGACGAGGGTCCCCGTGGGGCCGGACAGGCGCCACAGGAGCAAAAGGCCATCGGTGCTGGGCCTGCTGGGCCCCGGCTGATGCTGGTGTGTCCGGAGACACAGGCAGTGAGCGGCTGGGGGGGGGGGGGGGGCGGGGGGGGTTGCGACGTGGCAGTGATGCAGCCTGCCTGCTGCAGGCAGGGTGCGTCTGGACGGGAGGGGGCAGCAGCTTCGGCAGCAGGAGCATTTTTTAAGTGAAGCTGCAAGATGACAGCAATGCGCAGAGCCCCTGGAGCAGTGTACACAGCCCCAGAGCAACGGGCAGAGCCCCTGGAGCAGCATACAGAGCCCCAGAGCAATGCATGGAGCCCCTGGAGCAATGTATAGAGCCCCAGAGCAATGCTCGGAGCCCCTGGAGCAATGTATAGAGCCCCCCAGAACAAGGTACACCACCCCCAAGCAATGCACAGAGCCCCAGGAGGCGTGGGCACCTGCAGGCAGCTCCCTCTGGGTGAATCCCTGCCTGGCCCCTGGCAGGCAGCTCGAAAATAGGTCAGGTAGCCTCCTCTAAAATTGCTGTTCTCTCCTGGGGCTGCACAGGGGCACCAACGTTGCTCTGCGTGGAGCTGGGATGCAGCTCCCCAGCCCCAGGAGCTCTGCACCGCCATGGGGGCTGCGGACATTGTCCCCTTCCCTCCCCAGATAAGGCTTTTTCTGGTGGTGACCGAGGGACGCGTGGCGCAGACCACAGGCCATGCTGCAGCCTCCCAACCCACAATCTCTTAATCCAATTGGTGCATCTCCAATGTAGCTCATTTCGGTATTTTTAAAATGCACTTGGTTTTACATTGCAGGCTGTCCGGAGTTGGGCAGAACCAAAAGTGGAGGGAAAACAAAAGAAAAAAAAAAGAGAAATGTATATTCTGTATATTCAGCACTCAGAGGAGCAAATAACTACAAGTGGCCCCAGGCAGGGAGGTGGGTGCAATGCAGGGGGGCACCACAGCCATGGCCCCTCGGGATGGTGGCAGGAGATACGCACGCACGTGAGTGTGCACACACACACGCATGCACACACTGCCTCTCCCCACGCTGTGCACCCAGCGACCCCATCTCTGCAGCTGGAGCCAGGGGGACCACCCGGACCCTTCCCAGCAGTGAAGGACCTCAGCAGCCCCCCCACAGAGCAGAAGGGTAGCCAGGGAGGGCCCCCACACCCAGCCCAGCCTGGGTGACCGCAGGGACCCTCCCCGCCTCCTTCCTGCCCGGTGAAGCACGCGCAGCCCCACGGCTGATGCAACCGCGCTGCAATCGGGGCTGGCAGGGATGCGCTGGAGCTCGGGCAGGGCGGGCAGCGCTGGCAGCAGCTGCAGGGGCCGGAGCCAGCACCCTCCGCCCGTGAGGGCCAACACAGCATCACGCCTCCATCCATTGCATCCATACGGCGTCCCTGCTGCACTTTGCCCCAGCCCTGCCCTATCTACATGAGCAGCCTGCCCCCACTGCTCTCCCCTTCTTGGGGCCACGGCGAGCCCTTGGCATAGTGGGGTCTCAGCTGACATTCCCAGGGTGGTGGGCACTGGCGAGGACCCCCCAGTGCTGGCAGCAGCTCCAAGGGAGCGAGTCTCCGCACAGGTGGGAGGTGAAGCAGCCACCCTGGCGGGATGTCCCCGCACACCCCAGGGTTGCCGGCAGCCTCTGCCGCCAGCTCTACATCTGCTTCGTAAGCGTCCCCGGGGGCAAGGGGACGGTTAGGAGACAGATGCGCCCGTGCCGCCTCCGAGAGGGGCCCCCGTGGGGCGTCAGCGTGGGCGCTCTGGATAGCAGGCAACGCTGTGTCCCCCGGCCCCCCGTCCTCACTCACTCGAGGCCCCCAGCTTCTCCTCCGCCCTGGGGGGGTCTGCGGGGTGCAGTTTGCACTTGGAGGGGGAATGGCGGACGGTGGAGCGGGACGGCCGGGCGAAGCAGGAGGTGAGGGACTGGGAGCTGCAGTCACACGCCATGTCCTGCAAAGACAGACAGGGCACAGGGGGGTTAGAGGGGTCGGGCACCCCGTCCCCTGCCATGGCGGGACACCCGGGGGGGCACCCTGCCTTGTTACCTCGCTGGCTATGGCCGAGATGAGGTCGGGGTCCCGCAGGGCTGCGTCCTTACTCCCCTGGCTGGGGGACAAGGGTTTGGGGTCCTCACAGCTGCTCTGCTTGAGGACTTTCTTGTTCAAGACGCGGGAGATGTTTTCGGCCGGGTGGTGGGTCGCTGGGCTGGGGTGCTCAGCTCTCTTGCTGCCCTCCTCCCCAGTGGCCTCCTTCTTCTCCGGGGGGGCAGTGGGGCTTTGCGCCCGCCCGCAGACATTCCTGAAGAACTCCTGCACGAGGCCGTACTTGGGTGCTTCGGGCTTGGTCCGGCTGCTCTCGGGGCAGCCCGGCTTCCAGATGGACTCGGTGCTGCCTGCGTGCTCCACCACGCTGAACAAGCTGGACAAGCCGTCATTGATATTGCTGAGGACGGGGCTGTCACGGGTGGTGGTGGAGCGGGCCCAGGCAGAGCCATTCTGCTTGCTCTGGTGCAGGTTCCAGAGGCTCCTGTCCTTGGAGGCGTCCAGCTTGGAGGAAGACCTCCTCTGGAGCTTTGGAGAGCCATATTTTGGGGAGCAGCATGGCCGCTCGATCCTGGAGTGGACCTTATCCAGGGAGGAGGAGATCTGCTTGCTGCGCACAGACACAAGGGAGGAGCTGCGTGGGGACCAGCTCTTGCCGTGCACGCCGCTGCCGCGCGGCAGGTCAGTCTGCAAGCCAATGCTCACCGTCTGGATGGTCTGCGTCCCCACGTGGGCCAGCCCCACTGTCTGGCTGGAGGCGCTTTTCACCTTCCTCTCCAGCGAGCTGGAGCGGATGGCCTGCCGCACGCAGTTGGTGATCTCCTTCATGTCATCGCTCATGTTGCCAGAGATCTCCAGGTCGTGCAGCGATGGGGGGAAGCGGGGCACTGATGGCACCACGCTCTCCACCGTGCCACCGTCCAGCAGCTCCCGCTGCTGCTTGGAGAAGTTGCACAGCCACTGGCTGTAGGTGCTCTCAGCGCTGGCTGACTCCTCCGGCTCCTTCGGCTTGGCCATGGTGAACAAGAAACCGGGTTCGATCATGATCTTCCCCTCCTTGTTGTGCACCAGAGGCGCCTCCAGCCGCCGCACCACTGGCGGGCTGTAGTAGATGCGGATCCCTGTCTTGTCGGGCGCCGTGTAGCTTCTCTGCATTTGCTTCTGGGCTGGGTCGTGCCCGGAGAGGCTGCTTGTTCGCGAGTAGTCCCAGGAAGAGATGCCCAGCTTCTCCTTGGCCAGGCTGTCGGGGGCAGGTTGCTCAATATTCACATATGTACAGTTTGAGGGAGGAACACCGGCGCTGTCCCGGATCCCGTTGGGCAGCAGCTGGGTGGCTGCGGATGCCTTTTTGCCTCGGGAATGGTCGCCCAGCCCCGGCGCAGTCTTTCCAGGGAGGTAGGGAGAACAGTCGAGCAAGCTTTCAAACTCTGACATGGAGGAAACGGACTTGGTCCTGTGGGAGGAGAGAGAACAGGGCTTACAAGGGGACAGGGCAGCGGGTTGCGGGGCAGCTGGAGGCACCCTGCTCCTACCCCAACGGGACCCTCCTGGGCACCCAGTCCTGCTCCTCATTGGAGCCCTTGGCCTCCAGGACAACCCTGGACCATGGCTGCATCTCCCCCCAGTTGCTGGGGCTGCCAAGCCCAGGGACAGCCCCGCGCAGCCTCCTCCGTGCCCCGGGGACCATGCAGGCACCAGCGCACTCACCTTTTGAGGTTGGTTCCCTTGGCTTCTGCTTCAGAGATTGTCTCTTTGTCTGTGATTTTTTCATTGAGAGCCTAGGAGGACACAGAAGAAAGCTCTGGTGTCAGCAAGCACAGGACCAAAGTACACAGATGGGTTGGAGCAGGGGCTGTACCCTGCTCCTCTCCAGCACTACCACCTTCCCCCATGCACCCAGGCCTGGCATCCCATTCCCAGGGCTATATGGGGCTCACTGTGCCCACATGTATTCTAAATCAACTTTTTATAACTCCACTGAAGCCCTTGGGGTTCAGCCACGCTCTCCACCCTCTCCCCAATCCCTGGTGCTCCCCCTTGCAGCCTCATTTGCTGTTCAAGGGGGTGTTATTTGGGGTTCACATGACCTCCCATCTAACCCTTAGCATAGACCTGAGCCCAACGAGCACCCCGAGAGCCCTCTGCCTTCTCTTGCCCACCTCTTTCCAGTTGCTGCCGTGCTTCTCCATTTCAGAATGCTTCAATGCCCATGGGTTGGCTCCTTTCTGCAACTGGAGAATGTGTTGGTCACTCAACGTGTGCAACACGTGCCCCTCTGGGCAAGCAAAAGCATTTGTCCTTGCCCCTGGTGCGTGCCCCAAGAGCACGCAAACACTCTTGGGGCCCACAGGGGGGGCAAGTGGCAGAGGCTGGAGGACATATTCATGATATGGGACACCATACCTGGTTGATTTTGTTCTGCAGGTCCTTCGCTTGCTGCTCTGCCTGCTGCTGCTCCTCCTTGAAGCGGGCCAGCAGCTCCACTTTCTCCTGGTTCCAGTTCCTCTCGCTGATCTGCAGCTGCTTGGTGAGGTCCATGACAGCACTGTAGGACTCGGCTAGGAGATGCTGGTGCTCCTCACGCTCCCTCTTCAATGCCACCTTCCAGTCCGGCAGTGCGCGCTCTGCAATCCCTTTGCCTGCCTTCGACTCCAGCTGCAGGAACACGTTGGTGGCTGTGGGGGACCCATGGCTCCAGCGTGGTGCTGGACGCCCCCAGCAAAGGGGCAAGGCTGCGGGCATCCCGGTTCCCAGTGCAGGTCCCATGCTGCCCAGGTCGGGCAATAAGCGTGTCCCCAAGGCCTTGTTGCACAGCATGGCTCGCCCGTGGGCACAGCCGAGCTGCAGCCAGCCCTGGCTTGCAGCCATGTCATGCCAGACGGCCTGTCAGACGTTCACCCAGTGGGAGGCGGGCTGAATGTCCTGCCTGCTCGGCCATGCTCTGCCTGCAATCCTGCCTGCTGGACCCGGCTCCTGGAGAGGGGCAGCATCACCTGCAGGGCTGGCAGAGCAGATCCCGAGCATGCTGCTGCTGCTGGCAGCCAGGAAGGCACCTGAAACTGGGGTGCTGCCACCGCGGCAGCTCTGCTCTCTTTTGGGGGTGAGAGAGGGGAATTGGGGACCACCGCTGAGCTCTGCCTGGAGAAATCCTGCCTGGAAGGTGCTGGCACCCGCTCTGGGGAACGGCGCTGATGTACGGCCACAGGCTGCTGCCAGCACAGTGTGAGGGAGCGGAAAACCCTCATCGCTGTGAGGGCAGGGCTGGGAGACTGATTGGACTGCTTCTGCAGGCAGGAGCTTCCCCCAGTGCCGAGGCTGCCCTCCCCGCAGCTGTAGATCCCTCTTGCAGCATCTATGGGGGTGCAGAGCCCCCACCTGCGCCGTGACCCAGGGGAGGAGAGGAGGGCTCTGATGCCACTCCCAGATGCCTGTCCTGGGGAAGGATGCTGAGCCCTGGTACCATCTCGCCCGCCCCAGACAAACACAGTGGAGGAATAAAGAGCATCCTCTGCTGCTCCACAGTCAGATTTTCATGCCAGCCCCGTTGCTATAGAAACTCGCCTGCTGGAGCGGCTGCTAATTGAGATTCCCACAGTGCCACCCTGCCTCCCAGCCCTGCCCAACAGCCAGCGCTTCGCACGCGGGGGGGGCAGGGCCCCAGAC